CAATATTCTTCTCCCTAAACTTCTGAAGGAGCTCCTGGCTGAGACCTGGAAGCTGTACACGAACACGCTGCACTCGGTTGCCCAATTCGGGGGAGACAGCCTCAACAATTGCTATAGTTCCATTTTCAAATAGATCTACTTTCTTCACTCTATCCTTGTCTAGATATTCCAAGAACCTAGAATAAGACATCCTAGATGAAGATACCCCTTGGTCATCAGCATTGGCCCTCCCACTTCCCAATAAAACAGATGAACCAACTCCAACATTTCCAAGCAATAACTTCAGAAAATCTCTTCTTCCTTCATTCTGCTTTGATTCCAGAGATGCCTTTACCACACCAGCTTTAGCCGTTTTACCAAATGATTGAAGGCTTGTAGAAGGGACTAATCGCCTGCTATATGAAAAATTGCGCAGATTTGATTTGGAACAGTGAGTGGGCATACCATTCCCCACAAGACATGCAGATGCAGAAGAGGCAGCCATATCTGGAAAACAAAGAACCAAAAAGGTTTAAGCATCACACACTCTATAGCTCGTGGCTATTTCCCCACACTGAGCCCTACAAATCTCAGACAATTTATGAGTTAACAATAAAATCGCCTCTCCAGTGCTAATATCTAATCCATTAAATCGAAGTAGAAAGTTTGTTTATGAAATATGACGATTCAAACATGACAGAACTAGAAACAGCGAAAATCGCGACTCCACCTTCAAGCTATTATTTCTAGATGAAAAGAGTAACCTAGAACCAAACGTTTCAAGCACGGTACTAATACATAGCAACCATAACTTCGAGTTCGAATCAAAAACACTCACAGTAGTCACTATTTCGGCCAATACAACGATTTCAAGGTGAAATTCCAGAAATTAAATTGGAAAATTGCTTCAGTCACTGTTAACCACCAACCAGGCGTCGATACAAACCACAAAAACGTTCATCTCGAGAGAGAACACAGCAAAACCATTGAAAAACGAAACTAAAGAGGAACTTACCTTATTACTCTTCACAAAGCAGGATTTCCGGAAAGAGGAAAAGTAGCGAAATAGTATGAGAATCAATGCAATGGCGGCCTCTGAGATTGAATGGCGGAGAGTAGAGAGGATTCTACGACTGAGATCCGACGCCGGAGCTCTTAAAGAGGACGGATGTGGTTTAAGAAATGAATACGTGGTCTTATCTCTGTGGTTGTTTTGTCACCGTTTCTTGCCGATATTTTTTTTGGGTTTATTTTCCTTTTCCTATTGAAGAAAAAAAATCTCGAACCGTGATTTAAAAAATAGAATATAATTGTGGTCGTCATAATTATTTCTTATTTGACTTGTCAAACGTTGTGAATTTTTAAATTAAAAAAATGCTTTATAAATATAATATTTTTCAAAATTTTATTAATAGCCATTAAAATAATAAAAAATTCAAATATTCGTATAATTATTTTAACTTAATCACTTGATATGCACCATTTTTGTTAAAAAATTAATAAATTTTATAATTTATGAAGAAAAAAAAAAAACACATAATTGATTGGTTAGACATATATATCCACGGTCAGCACATATTGTTCTCTTTGGGCTTTCCTCCTCGGGCTTCCCCTCAAGACTTTGAAACGCAGTCTGCTAGGAGAAGGTTTCCACACCCCTTATAAATAGTGTTTTGTTCTCCTCTCCAACAATGTGGGACATCACAATCCACCCCCTTCGGAGCCCAGCATCCTCATTGACAATCTTTCCTTCCTCTAATCGACGTGGGACCGCCACCAAATCCACCTCCCTTCAGGACCCAGCGTCTCTATTGGCACACCGCCTCGTGTCTACCCCCTTCGGGGAACAGCGAGAAAGCTGGTACATGTCTAGTGTCTGGCTCTAATATCATTTGTAACGGCCCATATTCACCGCTAGCAGATATTGTCCTCTTTGGGCTTTCCCTTTCGGGCTTCCCCTCAAGGCTTTAAAACGTGTCGGCTAGGAGAAGGTTTCCACACCCCCTTATAAATAGTGTTTTATTCTCCTCTCCAACCAATGGTCTTATGACGTGTTTTAAAGCCTTGAGGGAAAGCTCGAAAAGAAAAGCCTAAAGATCACAATATCGTAGTTACATATATAGTCAATCAAAAGATTAAAAAGGGTACAAGAAAAGAAAATTATGTTTTTGTAGGCAAATTCTTATACTTCCTAATAGACTAATGACTAATAATATCATTTAAGAAAATGAAATGAAATTAAGGGGAAAAAAAAAAGGAATTCGCAAGATTTTAAAATGGGAGGAAAAATAATTTGGAAATTTGGCGCCAAGGATTTTATTTTATTATATAAATAATTCATGATCAGCACATTCTAGCAAAGAGTTAACTGCCAAGATCAAGTAGAAGCTTAATCGATCGAAAACGCCATCGGCGAGAGGAGCATTCATGGTCACTTCGAGCTCACACGTCGAGTTATTTCATGTTCAAAGAGCAACAATAATTTTTGGAGATTGTATTTCATCAATCCTTGAATTTTTTTTGGCATTTATCATGTTGATTTCAGAGGAAATCCGAGATGGCGCCTCATTCTCCCCACAATCCGGTCAGATTTCGCAGCATCAGAGAATCTTCCATGGCTCGTATTAAGTACACGAGCTCGTCGTCGACTAGGTTACTACCCGACGCTATTGATGCAGCGTTGTTGGACGAAGCTTCTCTTCGCACTGTTCGTTCGAACAAGGTGAATCTGCAATTCGGACATTGGCCATGGCTCTTCACCCATGGCACTATGCATTCTTCGTGAAACATATGGTTGCAGGGCGTCGTCATCACTTCCTCTTTCGGCTGGAAATCTTCAAGGCAAACGGCGCATCTCTTGCCGTCTTCATCATTTTCACCGTTGCTCCTTTCATTGTAATTTCTCCTGTTATTCTCTCTGTAATAGAAGCTTATTCTCCTACTTGCGTTGTTTGGAGGATCATAGACTTTTTTCTTGAGCTTATTCAGCGCCATATTTTGTTCTTCAGATGTTAGCGTGGAGTTTCCTTCGGATCTTGGAGTTGGCCTGTACAGTTCTGCCGGTCTTGAACTGGCCTCGATCTGCCTCGGTCTGGAGTGGGTAATGATTCTGACTATGGCTGGTGGATCTTCTAGCTGACTGAAAATTTCTCAAAAAGTGAATGAATCATCAACACAATATGGAGGATATGGATTTTACTTGCAGGATATGAGAGCAATGTAAGTACATTTCTCTGAAATTAACTGATATTATCAAGAATTTCGATGCTGCTCATGACAAAATTTGAATGCTATGCTATATATTATAAGCAATTCAATCAAATGAATGAGAATGACATGATTCTTTTCCCCTGCAACTTGTAAATAGAGATTATTGGTGAACAAATTTATGCCTAATGCGTTAAGAGCGTTGAATCTTGTTGAACTCCCTTGTGTAAAAGAATCTCCAACGAACCAGTCTCCAGCTAAGAAGGAACTGGAGCTCAATCACATTTCTGACACTTCATAATTTGCATGATTTGTTTCCTCAATTTCTTCCATTAGTGAAATTCATGGACTTCTGAATGCTGTCAAGTTATCTTACCGAGTTAGATACTAGTTCATGTTATTTTCAGGCAATATACCACAAACTTTGCTTGGCCTCTAATTCTTTTAATTTCACTTCATATGAAATGAATCTGCAATATCAATTTCTTCGGATTGCATATAATTCAGTGCAAAACACCAAACAACACCTAAAAAAATCTACCAAGTTTTTGAGTTCTCTGATTACCCGACAATTTCTAACAATCTTGCAATCATTGCTCCCCCGGTTGGCCGCCATGGAATTGGATCTAGCTCCCTAGTAGGCCGAGATGGAACGGGATCTATCCCCCCAGTAGGCCGCGATGGAATTGGGTTTGTATCTCTAGATGAATTCTGAAAGCACATGAACAATGAGGTATACGATTGTTACAATCTCTTTAGCTTCTTGCCTACTAATACATTTCTGAGAAAAGCTAGGTGAACTATTCATATGGAATTTGATTTGATTTACATGTTCTGTTTACCGCCTGCAAATAATATTATAGGATAATAGTTCATTGCAAAACAAAAGAATCATTAACCTGCTGACCTGAAATGGTTGCGGGTGTGGCGATGTGGAGCTCATACGGTTTGAATCATTTGTGTTATATCTCTGGTGATCATATTCCCTTCTAGCCCGCCATAGTCCTGGAGGAAAATTAGTAGGACGTCTGCTCATTTTTCAGAACTTTCCTCTTCTTTAATCTCTTAGATATCAAATTGTTGGTTTTGAGTGTTTGGGATTTTATAGCTCTTTCACTGCTTGAAGATGGATAATTAATCCAAGTGAGAATATATATTCCTCCTTGCCATCATCGTTTATCCGTCCTTTTTCTTTTTTTGTGCTTGGTTATCGTATTCCCACGTAAATGACTTAAAGTTTGATTCCCACTCCACTATAGATTTGCATGCTTTCCCAGATAGAGGTGCTTGAAAATTTTAAATTAGGGGGAAAATATTCGTTTTGGAATTAGAGAAAGGAATCTTGTTCTGTGGAACCCTCATTTTCATTGCTGATTTTACACATTAAGATTGTTGGATGTTTACATTCCAAAGATGAATTCAAGTCTTTGCTTCAGCCATAGAACCTCTCTCTCTCCTTTGTTGAGTAGTAATCAACCAGACAAGTAGCCATCTTTTTAGAAGCATTCTAATGGAAAGTTCGTTATCCTTGGCTCTGAAACGTCGAAGGTGGGACTCTCTTGGAGTGATTCTATAAACTTTATTCCACAACTTAGCATACAAATATGTCCAGTTTTTTGGTTCATTTGCTTTCAAGCAAAAACGTCTCTTTGCGCCATTGAAACCTACACATCCCTTTTCATTATTTTGATCTGAATTCCTAAAAATCAAACGATAGAGATGAGGTTGGCAAACATGGAATTTGGCTTTGGTTTGGATCAAATCCTTAGTTTCGGAGCGTAACAGTCCAAGCTCACTACGAGTAGATATTATTCTCTTTTAACTTTTCCTTTAATATTGCCTCCTCCATCCCTCGGGACCAACAATGGGTAGTACAGAAATATTCACCTGTTGTCCATCGACTACGCCTTTTGACCTAATCTTGGGCCCTTACTCACCTTTTGTAGAATCTTGCGGAGGAACCGTTAGGTTTTTGAAGCATTGGATTCTTACCAATGTTTGTGTTACTCAAGCCGACATTCTCGCTTCCACTTTGTCCACCACTACTTGCGCAAGTGCTTCCCTCTAAGGCGGAACGCTGTCTTACTGATGTATTTTTACATCCCACAGCTTCAATAGATCGCTTAGCCCCGTTCATCTTCGGCGTTAGAGCGCTCGATCCGTGAGCTATTACACACTCTTTCAAGCGTGGCTGCTGCTTCTAGGTAAACCTCCTGGCTGTCTCTGCACTCCTACCTCTTATAGTAGATATTATCCTCTTTGAGTTTTCCCTTTCAGCCTTCCACACAAGGTTTTAAAATGTGTCAATTAGGAAGAGGTTTCCACACCCTTATAAGGAATAGTTCGTTCCCCTCCCCCTCCCCCTTTGATGTAGGACAATTATGAACTTGCTTTCGCTACAATCTTACTGCTGTCTCACACGGAGATTTGTGGGAACTTTACTTTGTCAGTTTACCATTTGGATGCCTTTGGCAGAAAGCTTTAAGCATCCCATCAAAATTGTCCCGAGATGCAATATCTTACTTGAATACACTTTCCTTTTCTCTGCAGCAAGAAAAACAAATAGTCTATGATGTAGGAACTCTCGAGACTTGTAATTTTGGATCAAATTTTGTTGTTGGTTGATAGATATTTAGCACCTTTTATGTACTTAATTAGTGATTTTATTCCTTGCTCTAACAGACCTGCCATTTGAAATTTTATCTCTTAGCTTTGCTAAAGGTAAGGGACTTATAAAAATGTTGAATCAAATTCTAGTTCAATGAAATAATGATTATATATGAATAATTAATTCATCGATGAAATTCCATTCCTTTTTATACATAACCACTTTATTTTTGTGTTGCAGCTAATTTCATATCTGGATAGTATTTATTTCTTCGACGTTCATTACAATCGATCTAAATATGACAAGAATTCTCGAATAAGTAAGAAATAATAGAAGTATATTTAAATTATTTTTTATTATAAACGGTAAATTTAAATTTAAAATATTTGTTGTATTTAGGTACGTACCAGCTCGTTCTGATTTTGGAAGCAGTACATGACGGTTTTATTGTCATAACACGTGTCGACATCTGCAGCTTCTCTTCCTATCTTAACAGAGTAATATATTTCAAGAACTTCCCTCATATTTCTTATCTTATTCCTCTTAAGAAACGATTGTTTTGAAATGATTATCCATAACTGGCCAGATGTCTCAACAATTGAGCTGAAATATGGAATGGAATGTGCAGGTTTGAATGAAGCCCACAAGTTACCCTCAAATTACGGGCTATTCTATTCTATTATATCGAGATTTGTGACTTCTGCTGGCCACGTGACCCATCATGACAGACATGTGACATCTCTATCGGTTTCGTATCAAAATCAGCTTAGCTTAGCTGAATTCAATCTGAAAAAAGGCTGTGAATGGGGCAACGGGTGGCGCCTAATAATGCCCACTTGTAGCCCTCTACACCTAACTTGCGCAGCAACCCTCTGCACAAATGACCTGTAAGTCCTCCCTGCCTCTTTTTAGCTTTATATTTTTACCTACAAAATTAATTATTGCCAAAAAAAACCCTAAAATTTCATTAATTATTATATTAGGATTTTAAATATTTTAATTACAACAATTTCATAAAGTTAGAAGACTTAAATCCCGTTGAAAATTCGAACCTACACGAGTATTAAATCTATCATTCATGAGTAGGTTGGCATGTTTAATCCCAAAATTTGATACTCTTTTACTCAAATTTCATGTTTAATAAAATATTTTAATTACAACAATTTTATAATGTTCGAAGACTTAAAACATGTTGAAAATTTGAACCTACACGAGTATTAACTCTATCCTTCACGAGTAGTGTTTGCATGTTTAATACCAAAATTTGATATCCTTTTACTCAAATTTCATGTTTAATAAAATACTTTAATATTAAAATACAAAGTGTGTAAAAACAGGCTTCAGGCCGTACAAATAGGCTTAGTCTACACTTTTACTAGAAGCTTTCCAAATTATTATTTTTTTAAAAAAATTGCATGTGAAATTAATTAATTAATCAATTATTAATAAAAAAAATTAAAGAGAATCTGAGCAATTTCCACGTAGTTTCAAAGTAATAAGAAGCCGTCACCTTCGTATAATTCCCAGGATGTCCCACACGTTTACGCAAAAGTATAAAACAATAAAATATAATTTTATTTTCTATGATTTAAATTTTATTTATTATATAATTTTTATATTTTTTATAAAAACTAAAATTAATTTTTACTATGCGAATTAACACTCTAGTTTTAAGAATATATTCTAATGGTATCGTTTCTTTCCTAAGTTAACTTTAAATTAGCTAATAAAAATTATTATTATTATTATTATATAATTCATTTAAATCAAAATTAACTTTAAATTAGCCGAAGGGATCAATTTTAACTTTTATTGAAAATATTATAATTAAATTGAAACCAAATGGACTAATATAGTATTGGCCTGAAAAAAGGGTGAGTGAGATAATTAACAACGAAGGGCAAAAGAATATATAAAAGAAAAAGAAATGGAAAATGAAACAAATAAATAAATGGAAACACAGACGTAATAAGGTGATTGCACCGAAAGAAATAAAAAAAAAAACCCGTACGACACGGCTCGTTCTAAAAGACGCGTAAAGAGGAAAGGTAGACACGTGGCAGAATTTTAATGGTCGGTGTGGATACTGTTTACGTACTGTCGGTCTAACCGGCATTTCCCCAGAGAGAGAGAGAGAACAAAGAAGAGAGTGGTGACAGTTCCATTAATGGCGCGTGGGGACCACGTTCTTAGATTCGTTTCCTATTTTATTAAAACCAATTTTGGACTATTTACTTTTTAAGTATTTATTTCGAGGGTTGTTGAGACTTTGCCCATGGCTCATGTCCCACCCAAGACTTTTTCTTTTCATTATGATTTCATTTATGAAAATAAAATTTAGGTCTCATTTAAATGAATAATTTTATAATCGGTATTTTTTTCTTTAAATTTATTTTAAAATATCATAATTATTGACTAATTTTTGCCCACTTTTACCCGTTTGATCAGGTTTACTAGGTAAATATTAGTAAGTGTTATTATAACAAGAAGTTCCATAATTAAAAATGTTTTAAGAAAAGTCAATATAACAAATAATGTTTAAAATTCAATAAAGTAAACTTAAATTAGAAGAGATTAGACATCAAAATATGGAGCGTGTAGTAGACGCTCTAAAGAAGAGCGTGAAAGGGGAGGCCCCAAAGTAAATGGCGTAACAACGGCTTGTTAGACGATAGCCGGAAGGCGGCAGGAAAAAACATTAAATGAAACCTGCAGCTGCAAAGCAACCAGTCTAGGAATTTCCGCGTGCCACGTCACTCTTACTCCCTAATAATACATTTATTTATAATAATAATAATACTCGACATTACGTTTACATTATCCTCTTTCCTCTCTTTATGTTTTCTCGTCCTTTTCTCGTGGCTTGGGCGCCGTCCCCTCCCCTCAGTCAACCCTCCCGTTGACCCTCCACAAGAATTTTTCTTCTATTTTTATTTTTATTGAATATCCAACCATCATTGAACTTTAAATTTAGATCTAAACAATAATTTTCTTAGCATTTTTGAAGTTCAAAATATATTTTTAAAAGTAGATAAATAAAAAAATTTATTTTTTAAAAAATAGTTCGTGGTACCCTTTAAAAAACATTAAAAAAAAATTATAACAAAAATATTAAAAATTAGAAAAAATAACCCTAAAAATCAGTTAGAAAAACAAAATTAGTATTTTTTTTTTTACCTCTTTATTTAATTTTTAAATACCACCTTAAATTTCACCTAACATTTGCTTCACTTATTTCTTGTAGCTTCCTTTTTAAAATAAAATAGAATAAATAAAATAAAAACTAATCCATCTCCGGGCCCACCTGCCATCCGGTTCCCGGTACTATAAAAAAACTCATCCACCGCACCGAATATTACCCCGAAATCAGTTCAATTAGAAACAACCTACTCGGATCCTTCAACCACTCTCCGTCGCAAGAACACCAAATTAATTCGTTCAACCGCCATGGTTTCCAAAGAGAAATCCACCGCCAAAAAGCTTCCTTCTCTCTGCAACACCAACAACAATGCCAGAGAACTCCATTTCCGAGGCGTTCGTAAGAGACCTTGGGGCCGATACGCCGCCGAGATCCGAGATCCCGGCAAGAAGAGCCGCGTTTGGCTCGGAACCTTCGATACGGCGGAGGAGGCGGCGTATGCTTACGATAACGCCGCTCGCCAGTTCCGCGGCGCAAAAGCTAAAACCAATTTCCCTCCACCTGATGAGTTGATCGACGTTTCTCCTCGCAAGATCAGCCAAAGCCCTAGCCCTAGCAGCACCGTCGAATCCTCTTCCTCCTCCAGCCAAGAAAAAACTCCCTCAACGGAGATCGTCCGTAGCTACGGCGTCGCACGAACTTTTCCGTTCATTCAGCCGCAGTTTTTGCATCAAGTCGGCGGAGGCGGTAGCGGTAGCGCTCGTCCTGTTTTGTTCATGGATGCTTTTGTTCGACCTGAGTTTATCGCTCAGGGATATCCTATTCGGTATGATTCGGCAAGGTTCGCCGCCGAGATCCAGACCAAATCCGACTCATTGTCCGTGGTTGACTGCCGGCCGGCGAAGGAAATTCTCAATCTCGACCTTAATCTCGCTCCGCCCGTGGATGCTTGATTTCTCCGCTAATTTTGTCCTTTTTGTTTTGTATTTTTTTTTAAAAAAAAATTAATTTAGTTAGATCTTTAGAAATAGGAAAAAAAAAAAAATTAACGTGCTGTAAAGAAAAAGGAAAAATATAAAATAGTTTTTTTTTTTTTAAATTTTAAATTTTGGTGGCAGCTTGTGGGAGATCTAAGTTTTAATCCAACGGCTGGATCTCGTTAAGTTCTGTTTGTTATAATGCTCTGAGAAGACTGTATAACCTTCAATTATATAAAGCTTCAACTACTGCAAAATTATTCCCTTAATCCAATCCTAATTCTGCATTTATTTTTTTAATTTTTTAATTTATATATTTATATATGGAGAGGGTGAGAACTCACGCGATTTTCGGCTCTTTTACGGGGTTGACCGACACGTGTTGGTTTTGCCAAAATCAGGAGCCGCCCGGCGTCCATAAAAGAGATGCTTTTCTTTTTCTTTTAAAATTTAAATATATATTTGAGAGTATATTTAAAAATAGGGTTTCCTATTATTTATAAAAATTGAAGCTATTTTTATTAGCCAAATATTTTAATTTAATAATAACAAATATTTTATAATATGAGAGAAGGAATTCGCGAAATGTAGAGATGTATTTGAAAAGCTTGACTTGGCAATAAGATCAAATAAAAAAAAATACTAAAATTATTTTTAATATAAATTAAAATTTAAAATATGTATATAAAAATGAAATTGGAAAAAATAAAAAAGAATTGAAATAATGGTTACGTGGTGAATTTTGAATTTGGGGCAGTACAGAGAATAGAGTAGAAAAAATGTGAGAAGAGACTAAAACGGCAATTGAATACAAATTTAATTTAAATGGGTCCACATAAGGAATGCCGCGTTGGACGGCACGTGTACTTTTCTCGTGTTTGTGCCGTCCCAATTAATTATTTCTCTTTTAAAAAAGTCTTGTGGTTTCCAAGTAAGCGACGAGAAATTGTGGAGGCGGGAGAGATGGGAGACAGTGGTGGGCCCCACCGGTGAGATTGAGACGCCAAACCGCCTCTTCAAACACTGCCGTGAGGTGGCGGTTCCACCTGGTGGGGACCACTCTTTATCTGCCGTCGGCGGAATCTGTGGAGATGATTTCGTTCCCTCCTCCTTTCATTTATTTATTTTTTTCCTTTTTTTTATTTAGAATTAAATTAATAAAAATATAATTTTTTAATTAATCTCAACAATACCTTTAAACTTTAAAAAAAAAAAAAAAATCTAAAAATATTCTTAAACATAAAAACAATATAGATCTCTGCATCGAACCAATATTTTGTTTTTTTCTTTATGGCAAATTCAGCTATTGCAAAATTACACATCTGCCCCTGTCCGAAAAACAAACAACCCATGCAAATAAATCAAGAGTTTAATTACGTGTAGTTCATGCATTTTATCATGTATACAACTTTGTCCTCAAAAGTAATTTCATTTGAACTACAAGAATTGGGATTCCACGTCTCATTGCCTCGACATGAACAGGTTCTACATACTAATACGAGCCAATATAACATGTTTTTTTTTTCAGTGAACGATAATATTTGAACTACAAATAATAATAATAATAATAAAATTGTTGAAGATTATTGAGAGTGCGTCCCACATTGGTTAATTTAGTGAAAGATCGTGATTTTATAAGTGAGAAATACTATCTCCATTGTTATGATTACGAGGCCTTTTGGGAAAGCCTAAAGCAAACTCAGAGCGGACAATATCAAACAATTGTGGAGATTCTATTCAACTCTATCCTCTCAACATTATCATTTAAATGTAGTCTCAATTATTATATATATATATATACTCGAATGTCTCATTTTAGGAGTAAAAAAAT